ATATTTTAATAAAAAGTTATTGCAATCATGTGGATAATTACATTTATTTTCCTTCAAAAAATTGATTTTTTACCACCCCTCGTATTTGACTTCTTCTCTTATAGGTGGATCCATTTTTCTTATAATAGTCAAAAAATCAATTTTCAAAATCACTTCCAAATAGACTCTTAAAAAAAGAAATTATGAAACGATTTATTTTAGCAAAATTACGAAGGTAGACAGTTAAAAAAATATTCTTGAAATATTTAGTGGACAAGACGTCTACTATTTGTATGGGAACTTAGATTCCATTCATCTTTTCTCCATGAAAGATTGAAACTTGATGAGTAAGTGGGTGTCCCCAACGATTCCATGTGTTCTTTGAATGGATATTTGTTACCAGAATCTCTTTTGCTTTACACAATTATATCACTCAAAAATCAATTATTTTTTAATAGTCACTACGTCAGGTCGTGTTACTAATGTTTTAATCTCTCTTTAGATGCAATTTCAAGGTAAATATTTACCCTAATAATGCATGGTAGTATAATTTTGAAATTGAGGATGAATAGAGCTCGGTCGAATGATTTACCGTCGATTTTTAACACTATTTATTTTCAAATTTTACATTCACAACATATTAAGTGGAATGTTTATCTGCAACAACGTAAGATACCTTACGTTATTGCCAAGTTTTAATATTCAAGTAAGATATCAACTTTAAAGTAGCTATGGATAAAAGAAATTCCAAATTACTTTTGGCCATGAGAAGACTTATAGATAAGGCAGTTCAGTTGCACCATTCAAATGTTATTCGGAGATGCCATTTCATTCAAACTATTTGACTTGACCCCTTCTTTTTGTAGTCAAAAGGATATAAACAAGTGGCTGAATCATTAGCATGAGAAACTACTAAGAGCATGTTTGGGATGGTATATTTCATAGGCATTGATCTGTTACATGTGAGCCCCATCAGACCATATTAGGGACGAAGACGCAATTTGCCCTTCGTCTTGCAAGTTTCCATTAATAGTCAAGAAAAAGGTCGTTTTCTTCATTTAGTGATTTGAAGGAAAGTGTCTCAAGTAAAGACATTAGTCATTGTTCTACTGTACATAATCTCAGAAGGCTTGTTTGGTGTCAAATTGACTCCAAATGCAGGATAATTATCTTATTCTGGCGATGTTTTACTCTCACCAGTGCAATATTGCTGCTACTGTTAGTTTCCAATGTGCAAGACTTTGTAGTGATCCTGGAATGTGAGGCAAGTATCCCTTTCTCGAACACATGAAAAGGAGCAATAGCAACGACATCCTTGTGCAGAGCCAATGCTTGATTTTCTCCAAGTGATATAGTGATAATGTCAACACCGTCGGCAATAGCATCATCGAAGGCAGATAGGTCACCATAGGGACATGAACCCCATAAAAAAGACCTTCTTTAGGCCTAGAAAGGGAATTTTACACTCAAAAGTCAAGTTGATTTGAAGTCAGACATTGATTCTGATGGTCATACGTACATGTTTAGTAGATCTTCTGTTGAAATAGAACTATCACGCGACCAAAATTTTTATATAAGCAGACTCCTGTGGATCCATAAAATTTCGTGTCTCCTCTTTTTTGAACATTCCTTAAAAACACATAAGACACTCTTGTCATAGGAAGAATCAAGTCCAATGAATCACAATATTTCCAGCCACTATGGAAGTTGTATAATCACCATGACCAACAATGTCTCGCGCAGATACATCTGAATCAATTGAAGAGTAGAACCAAACTACAACAATCTTGCTGCAAATCCATCTCAAAAGTTAATTGCATCAATATTAGTCTATAATATATCTTGCACATGAAAAAATCGAGTTGAGATCCTTCTTATGATACTTCGGCACATCACCGGGAAGATGCCAATGAGTAATATGTTTGAGGTGTCAAAAAAATGTGTTGATGTCTTCCCATTTGCGGAGAAGACACCATGTGTCAAACTATCAATAATGTCTCGAAGGATTGCAAGTTTGAAACTCCAAATCTGGGCTCAACTCGAAGAAAGCCATAAAGCATCTGGAGGGGAAAGAAGCATTACTTGTTTTATATTCGAAATAACCATTTAATGATTGTCAAAATAACTCGAAAAATGCATAATTTTTTTTTATACTTCCTTCTTCTCAGCAAACCCCTAAAAGAAAGGTTGTAATCCCTTGCTACATTGCAATACCTCAAATTTTCGTTCTTAAAATTTTCAGTTTCTTTCGTAAAGGAAACTATACTCATCCAATCATAAACACGGAGTTTCTCCAAAATTCGATTCTTTCTCGGTATGCACTGGAACTCAACAAGATTGTCATCAAGGTGGTGTTGATTTCCTATTATTACACAACGGCATACATATTATTCATTCCATTCATTGCATGGAAGAAAATGTGTAATAAACACAAATATACTTCGACAAAAAAAAAAAGAAAGCAGCACGAAAAAAAATGCCACAATTATCATAACCCATCTTCGATTTGTATGGTTACATGATGAATTTTGAATGTTTTTTCACAGTATTCCCTAATGGATTGCAGGATCTCATTTGGACTAGCTCCAGGTTCAACGACTACATGACAAGCCAGTACATTCTTTCCAACTGTTATGGCCCAAACATGCAGGTCATGAACATCATTCACCCCTCTTATAAGTTTAAGGCCATTCTCAACACAAGCAATATCAATCTCAGTTGGTGCCCTTTCCATCAAAATAGAAAAGACGTTTTTAAGCATGGGGAAGGTGGTACATAGAGCAATGACGGAGAAGATGATTGTGCAAAGCAGATCAACCACTAACCATTCTGGTTTGAGCCATATGATGGAACCCGCAATCATTACCCCAACAGATTGAATGAGATCAGTCACGAGATGCAAGTAAGCCCCTTGTATATTTATGTTTGCCATTTCAGCGTAATTATGAGTAGACGAAGCTACTAGTTTCATGCGTTCTTCTTCATTTCCAGCACATAATACCTCCGGTTTATGATGATGATCTTCGGGCTCACAAGCATGGTGCTGGTGAGAATGGGAGTGGTGAGAATGGTCATGACCAAGCCATACTACCATGAGAAAGTTAACAACGAAACCAAATGCAGCAACTGCAAACATGAGATTCCCGTTCACCTTTGTGCTTTTGTGAATGAGTCTATTGATTGCTTCGTAGATCAAAGTTCCAGAGATGAGCCATATCATCTGCACAGATAAAAGGGCTCCTAACACTTCAAGACGATTGAATCCAAAGGAATGCTGTGGTGTTGCCTCCCAACCGGACACCCACACCGTGAAGAGAGAAATGGAGAATCCAACAATGTCAGAGAGCAAGTGAGCGGCATCAGTGAGAATTGTGAGGCTGTTGGCTTTCAGACCTCCAACAATCTCCACTACCATGATCAGTGCATAAAAGACCATGAGCCCAGAAAGTTTAGCCGTTGTCTTTGATCGTTGTACTGCATCCATCTTATTCTGTTCTTGCTTTGAGAATGAACAAGTAGGGCTGCAAGAAAACTGCAGTTTCTGGGGGAAGCCATTGACTCCATTGAAGACTTCCGAAACATCTAATTCTAGATGCTGTAATTCTGTTGAGTCAAAATTCCCCCGTTGCTCCATCTGCCAGAATAAGTTGCATTTGAAGCAAGTTATTTCCTAATGTTAATTCTTTCAAAACAATACAAAATCCACTGTCATGTTATAAAATCCCGTCACATAGTACCAACTTGATTTATACATTTGCAGCTCAGTTATTAGTATATGTTGTTCTCCCTTTCATACACTCTTCATAACCCTGATGACTTCTATTCATCTAGATCAAATGAAAAGCATTCTTCACGCACCAAAAGTTTTCATTCTAAAGCCATTTAGCGTTTTGCTCATAAATGGTGTTTGGTTTTTTAAATAAATATCAGTTGCAGCCCCTGAAATTTGACATATACAACAAACAATGACGACAAAAAACTATAAACAGAAAAGAATGTGTATAAATTTTGTATCAACTACATAAATCCTCTGTTGTTTCATTCGATTCAGCACTACAAATACTGAAAAGTCTAATCAAGTCATATCTTTTGCAACCACATCAAGTTGTGTTAATTTTGATATTAATGAATTCATGCTTCAAAAAAAGGAAATTCTCCGGTGAAAACAAAACTTCATAAATGGGCAATTTATAGGTCACTAAGCAATAATCCAAAAGCAGATTGACATGACATAAACCCGTATTCCAAATCAATTAGTTTAAGATACAAAACATTTTCTCAAACCATTTAGAAATCAAAGATTGCTCCTTATAACATTCCAATTTCCTCAAGCCTCAAAATTTACAGAAACAGGAGTTTGAGATCCCTAAACATCGATCCATTTCCTAGAATCCAACGATTGCAGTGAATTTCAGTGAATGCATATTTAATCTTAGTGTCATCCAAAAAACTTAAGATTTTCTAAACATGAATAAAATCATATGTATAATAATATGGGTACATATGAATGCAAAAACATGCAAGGTGAAGAAGGAAAAAAAATCCCATTTTAATGGAGAACTGCGTACCTGTTTCATAAATGGAAAAACATTCCGATCAAATGAAATAACAGGAAAAGGGATCAATGAAAAAACGGAAACCAATTTCTGATCGGAAGAAAATTTAACTGGGAGCTTTAGGGTTCTCAAATTCCCTAATAAAAAAGAATCCAGGAAATTAAAGCGAAAATTCGAATATTGAACCTTTTTTTGGAAGGGTCGAAGGTGTCAAGATTCCGCCTTGACCTCTTCTTCCATAAACCCTAAATTTGAAAAAGTCGAAAAAATGGTCGTATACTTGTATTTGAATATTGAAGCAGGCCATTAAAGCTAGAGTCTATTCCGCCAATCGAGGCAACTCGTCTTAAACTATTTATAGTTAAATGATTTTTTTCTAAAAATAGATGATATATGTTCATTTGCTTAGATTTAAAATATATGAAGATTGTCGTTCATATATAGCCCTTGTTTCATTTTCGTTATTTTTAAAATACATATTTTTCTTTTTTATTTTCAATCACATGTTATTAAATAAAATAATATTATACGTAAATTCAAAAAAAATTCTTTATCTTTTAACCATATATTTTTTATTAAAATACTATTCCAAAATATATTTTGAAAAAATAAAAAATAGGATTCAAACAAGCTCATGAATAAAACGTACCAATTAAGCAATGACCAATTAACAACACTATCGATCATGAAATGCTGAAGTTTTGAACATTCATCAATGTTCTGGCCATTCACTTCCAATCACCCTATTCTCATCAACACCAACCCTCCAATGTTATGTGAGG